TAACTCGCTTCCCTGCAGCCACCCTGAGTCATGTGCTGCTTTGCTTGGACTGTGGGAGGGATAGAATAGTATTTTGCCATGGAGATCACAGTGCCAAAAGACTCAATAACTGATTTCTGAGTCTCTTCAGTGTTGTTAGAGTAGAGCATGAAGCTGAGAGAATTGGGATTGTTCAGTCTGGAAAAGAGAAGGCTCTCTAGTCATTAGGTCATTAGTAGTGACCTAATTGTGGCCTTCCAGAACCTAAACAGAGCCTACAAGAAAGATGGAGAGAGCCTTTTTCCAAGAGCATGTAGTGACAGGACAAAGGGGAATGGTTTAAATTGGAACAGAGTACATTTAGTTTAGAAAGATTAGGAAAAATTCTGTACTGTGAAGGTGATGAGGGAGTGACACAGGTTGCCCAGAGAAGTTGTGGGTTACCCATCCCTGGAGTTCTTCAAGGCCATGCTAGATGAGGCTCTGAGCAACCTGGCCTGGTGGAAGGTGTGTGTCCCTGCCCATGGCATGCAGGTTGGAACTAAATGATCTTTAAGGACTCTTCCAACCCAGGCCATTCTGTGATTCCATGACTCTATCTCACCTTCAGTGTCAAAACTGGAAAGAATTAAAAAAAGATGCTGGTTTTAACTCTGTGAAGGGTGTAGTGGTGGGGTGGGATCAAACATTGCTCCACTGAGCTGGATGTCTAAGCTTCTCCTGCAGTCTTAAGAGAAATTAAGCACATGGCACCTGAGCAGTGAATGTCTGTCTGCCTAAAGTGTAGGCACTGAAGATTGACCTGGGAACACATTGTGAACAGCTGAAAAATAACTTTGACACCTGTCTTTTTTTTTTGTTGTTGTTCATTTCTGAGATTCACAATACAGGGCTCAGTTTCTAAAGCCATCATTTGAAATTAAATATTAATCATGACTGATACTTCAATGTCTGATCTTTTCTGCTTTGAATACAGCAAAGAAGGAATTGTGCATTATCTTGTAGTAATAATCTAGAGTAATAATCTATTGAATGTGATATAAACTCTCTAGTTGGATTTTTAGAACGCAGGAATTGTACTCTGTGGATAACACAGTTTAATGTGTCTGTGTAAGAGCCCAGAACCTGTATGTGAGGTTATCATGGTATTTCTGAAGTGTCTAGACTGAACTGTGTGCTGGAGACATCTGGAGCTATGCCCATGTGACTCAGAAAGCCTAAGTGCATAACTTGCCTGATTGTCAAAAGAGTAAAAAATATGGAAGAGAAGTCACTGACTAAATTTCCTACCCAAGTGGTGGAAAAAATCTGCAAGTGGTCTTAAGCCCTGCTCAGAAAAATGACTGATACTCTTTAACTTCAGGGATAGCAGATGTCCCTCTTGCAGTTTAAAAACGCTTTGAGAACTTCTGTCAAAACCATATGGGCACAAGCTTATCTCATGTTACAGCATGTAGCAGGGGTTTTATCTTCTGTGCAGGTAATCTTTCAAGACTTGATTCTGATAATATTTTAAATGTAAGGAATTTTTGGTTTTTATGGAAATAAAAAATAAATTAAGAGTCATCCAATCCAGACCCTGAGCAAGTACAAGGTTTCATAATACACAGGATAGATCCTGTAAGTGAGGGTGGAATAGTCTTTAAGCAGAGCATGCCTGGAAACTCTCTCTACTTTGAGGCTGAATAAAGAAACCTCAGCAGTATCTAGTGGGCCTGAATTAGATTTTTTACTGTCAGTCTGGACTTTAGCTCACAGATGCTTATATGCATGGCTAAGCTACAACTAATTCTGCCAATTTTCTGCTCCAAATCTTTTACTGGTTTTGGAGTCTCTGTGCAAATGACCACAAGAAACAGGTTTTATTTCTTCATGTCTGTTTGTATGGAAGATTACTTGTTGCAGATGAGAACAGAGCTGTGCAGCATTAAACTGGGCCATTTTTTACTAGCACCTCTTGGTCAGTCTATCAACAGCTATCAAAAGCTTTTAAGAGAATCCTTATCCTCACCCCTTGGCCAGAAATGATCTTTCAACAAATGTCAGCTTGCTAAGTCAAGCTCATGTCATTTGATTTTTAAAGCAGTTAGAAAAGCACCGAAAAATAAAAAAACTCTCCTGGTGTTCCTTCAGTAGCCTCCAAAAAAAGTCTGCTAAAGATGAGCTTTGTAAAAATGAGAAGCTGTGTCAGCTGCCAGCAGGTGACTTTGTGGTGGCCTGCAGACTGCCTGTCCTGCAGATTTATTTTTCAAGTAACAGCTGCCATCAGTCTGAGCTGAAGGACAGCACAGGTGCGGACAGGGTAAGGCAGAGGCTCAGCTCAGATGGGACCAGAGCTCACCCAGTTCATTTGCTATCTCCAGCTGCTTTGAACATTTCTAGTTTTTGTGTTGTGGTTTTCAGTGTTTGTATGTTTGAATTGTGCAGCAGTTCAGTCAGTGTTTCTCCTCTTCTGTGTGTGCTTTGTCTTACGTTGGAGCCTTTTCTTTTCTTGCCATGGACAATAAGGATTCTGAGCTGCTCACAATAAAAAATGTGGTACTCAAAAGCAGTTCTGGTAGCCCTCAAGAAGGGTGAACTTGGAGACTTTCAAACCAACTTTCATGAAAATTCTCCACAAAGAGGCACTGGTCATTAAGATGTAGCAGTCTTTCACCTAGAGTTGCAGCTTAATGAAGAGAAAAATGGAGAAAAACTTCATGTCGAAGCTTACAGCAAAAAGTTGCATTCAAAATAATTCTCTTTGAAACATTTTAAACAGTATTTATTGCTTTGATGTTACCTTCATCATATTTTAATGCTTAATTAAAAATAAAACTACAAGCATCTGAAATTAGCTTGTGCCTTAAAGCTCAAATAGAGTAGTTTTGGGTTTAAGTTTTGTTTTTGCTGAGACAAAAGAAAATGTCAGGCTGTTTGATGTTGGGTCATAGGAGAGGAGCACTCTATTGGCACTGATGTGTGTGATGTTGGTTTCCATGGGAATACTGATGTGAACAAAGATTACTTATGGGAATCAGGGCATGAAAGAGAAGGTCCACAGGCTCCAAGGAAAAGTTAGTGAGAGAAATCTGTAATTGTGGGTAGAGTCTGCAGTGGTTTCTCATTGTAACAGAGAACTGGATGGAAAGAGAGGACTCTGCTCTTGCTCCTTATGGATTTGTTAGAGCCATGCTGTTGGATTGCTCATCTGTCCTGGACATGATGAACAACGAGGGTATGGAGCAGCTGGGCTGCAGTCTGTCCTTCACTAAATGCTGCACGATCCTCATGGGTGGTGTCAATAGCAGCAAAAGACTCTGTGCTTCTCTCTCTCACCTTGTTTTTGGTGTTTCTCACCTTGTTTTTCCCCTTCTGTCTTTCCTGTGTTCCTTGGTATTGTGTCTGTGTAATTCTGTTTCCATGCAAGTACCCACCAGACTCCAATTTTGCAGTCATTGGGAGCCTCCAGGTGACACTTCAGCTACCACAGAAGTTGGTTTAAGGGTGGATGTTGCTGAAAGAAAACAATGCTAATTGTATCATTTACCTTTCCGACAGGCAAGGCACACAGTGCTGGCCCTGTCAAGCCTTGTGGCTTCAGCCTGTGTGCTGTTCTGGGTCTGGCTGCTGCACTGTCTCACCTGGTCCTTTGGATAAAGGACAGCTCTTTGAAAAGAAAGAAATAAAAAAGGTGTCTATGCCTGGATGCTTTGCTGATACCAGATAACCTGTGCTTTGCTTTTCAGAGGATGTATTTTTTAATCCCTGCTTAAGCACAAATGTTTTCCTGTGTCAAGGTAAAAGTCAGTGCATTTACTGTTACTGCAGGAATGAAGATGAGCATGAGGAGGGGAGGCTGCAAAAACCAGTGTGCTGCACTTTTAAAGTGATGTTCCACCAATCTGGGAGCAAAGTCCAGATGGTCCCATTCAGGGAGGGCTTGTGACAGAGGCTCTGTCACTGCCAGTGCATAAATGTGTGTCTGTCACACATTTTTAATTGTGACACACCTGCTGTTAAAGCTGCTCTGGGCTGAGTGATACCTGAAGGCACCCACAGCTGGGAGGAGGTGGTTCAGCTTTCTGACTGTGAAGGATGTTGTTTCTTGGGAAATCACAGGGATACCTGTTGTTGCCTGGGAAATAGGTTGGAGCCAATGGCTCTTTTTGTTCAGGGCAGCAGATAATGATCCTTGTTTGTGGCTGTAGATCAATGCTGATGCAAACCGGGCTGAAATGAACAGCATGAAATGAGTCATTACCAATCCCAGGAGAAGCTGAGACCTATTAGGAAGCATGATTTAAGCAGCCTATCCTACAGTATACAGCAGAACAGAAAATACTCTGAGAATTTGCCATTGGTTTACTTTTTATAATTGTAAGAACTTGTTCAAGACTGGAATGCTGACCCTGTGGTCTCCAATCTGTTTCTGGTGGACAGGGCTGTGAGGAGAAACAGGCACCACAGCAGCTGGCACTCATAATCCTGCTTGGCAGCCTCAGCAGAGGAGCAGGAATGTGCATGAGCTCAGACACTAAGCAGTTTCCTCACTAGGGATGGGTTTCAGGTGTGCTGCTGTGGAGCTTCTTGCTTCACCTGCAGAGTGTCAGGTTCAAAGAAGTGCTGCTAAATATTGGTTTAAGTCACTGTTGTGGTGCTTGGTTAGACAGGATGCAGGTTGAGAGTGCAAGTAAATGCTTTACTGTGATTTGTCCTTCTGGCTGATTTGCAGCCCCTTGGTGTGCTGTTGTTGAGCACTTTTAAGAGCCTCACAGTGTTTGGTTTTTATTGTTAATTCCATTTCTCATGAGGGTACTGGCAAAGTATTAGGATGAGAGGACTAACCAATGTGCATAGGTACTAAAATTAATGGAGAAAGCTTGGTGCAGGTAGAGGGTAAGTAAAAATGCACCCCTAACACTTAGAAATGACAAAATCCCAGAATTTTTTTGTAACAGCATGACCTGTGTAGCTCTGGCAGATTGTCTCAGTCATTTTGTGTACAAATGTATCATGCGTTTTAATTTTCTATTTTGCAGGGGCCTGAGTTGATGAATAAATACGTTGGTGAGTCTGAGCGAGCAGTGAGAGAGGTGAGAAAGGGCAAGCTGTGGATAATGTTAGATAATAAGCTTCTTTGGCTTTCAAATTCTTCTCTGCTTATGCTTATTAAGCTTTCTGAAAAACTCCTTGTAGTGTAAGCTTAAAAAAGGAAAGAGGAAAACGAAGCAAGAGGAATATTTAGCTTCCTCCTACATCGGCCTAGTCAAATTTGACCTGCATGTCAAATTTGGGATCCGGTGGCAGCTTTTACTACAAGCTCATATTATTAAAAAAATCTGTTTTAAAATGAAAACAACCCAAGACAAGACAGGCTGATGTCTGTTACATGAAGCTCTGTAGCTCTTGAGGTGTGCAGGGGGTGATAGTGTACTATAAAAAGCTTCCACCCCTTAAAACTGGGTATTTCACTGTTGTTTTTTGTAGATCTTCAGGAAAGCCAGAGCAGTGTCTCCTTCAATTCTTTTCTTTGATGAAATAGATGCCTTGGCAGTTGAAAGGGGAAAGTAAGTAATCCTGTAACAAAACCAACAGACATTATTTCCTGATAAATTACTCTTACACAGCACAGTCACAAATTCATTTACCTTTCTAGAATTGTTTTATTAAATATCTTCATTCTTTGTACAGAAGGGTAACGTGTGACTTTTAATCAAGCCTATTTAACTTGGCATAAACAGGTAAGCTGATGTAGTTCCTCCTTTCTCATCTCATTAGCAGGAATGAATCTACTGGTTCTCATGCTCTTTGGCTCTTTTCTGTGGTTTTACCTTTTATTTCCAGTAACATAATTCCTTTCTTTTCCCAGGCCCTGGCCTAATTTGGTGTCTCCATGAAGCAAACAATATGATCATAGGCTATATAGCACAAATTTCCAAAGAGAATACTCATGTACCTAAATTTACATCTATGTTTAAATGTTTTGCCAGACTGGGAAAAACTTCATGAAAAGATTTGGAAACACTTGTGTCCTTTCATGTGTGACATTAAGAAGGGATTATTGTGCAAACAGCTAATAGTAATTTTTTTTTTAATAACCTGCTTTGTGGTAATTCATGTCTGAAGTAGGATTATTGCAGTTTTTAGTTCTGCTACAGCATATTTAAGATTTGACTGGCTCTGTAAATGGACTTTCTTGGGGAATACCTCCTTATAAATGAAACTGCTACTTGCTGTTGCATTAAATACTTTTATCCTGTTTTATTTTGCATGACAAGCTACCAGATTGGTGCATCAGAAAGTATCTGTCATTTTTAAAGGCACATCAAAACTTCAGTGTTTTTCTGGGAAAAAAAGCTCCCTCAACACACCTACAGATCATTTTTGTTTACAAGAAGGGCATTTGTATCTTCAGGAAAGGATAGCAGGTGTAATTTTGATGTTTTGGTGGCACAGGAGGTGGCATCACATGTAGCATAGAGCTGCCCTGCGAAGCTGTTAAGATGTGAACATTGCTGTTGAAAATGCAAAATCTGATTGAAGATGTTTTCCTGAGAATCCTTCTCATGTGCAGTGTATGCAGCTGTGAAATTTGTGAGCTTCCTGTGTACTGAAGCAACAGAGAAATTGCAAAATTGTTTGCTTGAATCAAGCCAGTGGAGGGGAAAAAAAATATCATCCCCTGCTGCAATTGTTAATGTGTTTAGCTTTCAGAACCAGCACTTCATCAAGATCAAACCTCTTGGAAGGTTAAGCCATAGTACATTTTAAACGGTCTTTTCTCACAGTGCCCTGGAGGTGTTGAGTTTGTTTGTTTGTTCGCTTTTTTTAGGGAGTAAACAACCTGATTTTACCTTACCTGGGACTGTCTGTGGGGAATAGTAGGCCTGGCACAGCTTGCTGAAGAATGTGGTGTGACCTGCTGCAGTCGTGTTGTGCTGGAGACATCTGGTTTTGGAGCTTTAAAAAGAACAGGGTGGGACACACAAATATTTCATTGTCAAATCTGAACCAGATGGGAGGTAAAATATGTAGCAGAGTTCTCATAAAATTCATCTGAAATTGAATGGTGTAGGAAACCAGACAAGGCACTTATTAGAAATGGCCCTTTTTTACAGGCTGACTTTGCACAGTAGGAATTTGCAAATGCACTAGAGATGCTAACGATTTGTGGCCTCTGGAGATCCATTTCCTGTACTATTACTGACCATGCTGAAGTTTTCAAGGAAACACCTGTTTATATTGTCTCCCCATTCCCTCTGTTGGCTCAATTAGTTTTCTTTGCCTTGGCAGTGAAAAACACTCTGTGATACAGCTTTGTGAGAGTTTGAATCCTCTTGGTTTAAATCCTTGACAGGATGCTGTGGGCTTGGTGCAGAATATTCCACATTCCATATCTCCTGGGTAGGCAACCTCTCCTGATTCTGTCAGGGATGTCCAGAAATCCAGAGAAGCTGAAACTGTTAAGTTGGGGGAGTAATTTTACGTATAATTCCGATCAGAAATATGGGTGTGAAATAACCTTGAGTAAATGCTTAATGCTTTTGTTCTTCAAAGCATCCTGCCAAGTATTCATTAACCCATTATTTAGATTTGACTAAGGCTTGTGGGTTTAAAACACAAATGTTTTGCTCCCAGCCTTCTGTAGAGATCATTAAACAATCCCTTCTCAGCAGCAGGCACATATGAACCAACAGACTTTGTAATGAAGTGACTGTAGAGGTAGACAGAGAAAGCTAAAGAATTTTCTTGTTTGGACCATTCATAATAATGTCTCCTTTGCACCAGGTAGTGGATTCTGTCACTGCACAAACCATTACAAACACTGTGGCTGCACTCATTGATTTCACATTCCCAAGCCATAATTAATTCCATAATTGTAATGCATCTAACACGCTACCTAATGTAACTGTCCCGTGTAGCAGTTTTGTTTTACAAAATCTATTTGTGTTCATCAGTTAGAACTAATAATACTTTGAAGTTAGAAAAAATTAGAGTAATTGACACTGTTCATTGTCAAAATGTTGTTTTATTTGGAAAAGATTATTTCTTATCCTGCTTAGAAGTTCTGTATATTTTATCCATATGAACTAAGCTCCTGGATTTTTTTCTTGTCTGTCCACATCCTCCCTATTTTGCATGTAGGCAACCCATTAATACATATTAATCAAGGAATTAAGAATGTGGGATGGATACATACCAGTGTTAAAGACAATTTATGAAAATATAATCCCGCAGCTTTGAAGAAAAATAATTCAATGTTAGGTGCAATTGCTTGAAAGAAAAATCTGATTTATCTTTGATGCAAGAGAGGGTGATTCTGAATGGACTTGAGTTTCCAGTGTGGTAGTGAAGACATAAAGATACTTTGAGCTGTGTTCACTTCTGCTTTTTGTTCTGTTACTCTGAGCTTGTAATGCTCATGGATGATTTTTCCATCTCTTTCTGATTTATGTTGAGATGTTAGAATAAGTTTAGAGAGAACTGAAAATGAAAAATTAGTGGCTCAGTGGCCTGACAGTAGAGAAAAAGGGGGCATTCACCATGACTGTTTCTAAAGAGCAAATGATAAACCTGCAGCAGAAAAGATGATAAAAAGTTAGAGGTGTCACTGTGAAATTTGAAGAGGAGAAATGATTGAAAAAGGAAAGCTGTCTGCAGTCGTGCACCAGGAGAGCTGAACCATGAGATGCACAGAGCCTTTTCCTCTACTTTGTGGTTCTAGTTAGCATTTGTTTATAAGCAGATTATGGCTTTTTATTTTCTTTCCCCTTACTTCTGAAAGATGCTGTTATGACTTTTTGTAGGACAGATTGCAGTGAAGCAGGACAGGTCCAGATGCAGCATAGTGTGAGCAGGAAAGTTTGCCTTGAAGTGATCCCGTGCCTGCACAAAGCTTGGGAGGCTTTACAAATTGTACAGCTGCTGAGAGTAACGGGTAGTTGTTACCCTCAGTATCCTGACCATATAAAACCTAATTCTTCTGGCCATTAGGGGTTGCCAAGAGGGAAATAGCTTGGTAATTAGACTTGAAAGTGATGAATGAATGTGGGTCTGTGTAAATGCAGCGCAGACAGTCTGTTTGCTGAACTTCAGAAATCTCCATGCTTTGGAAATGGGACATTGTTTATATAAGTAAGATTTTTAGGATTTTTCAGCAAGAGATACCCTTCTCTTGTTTTTCAGAAGCAAAGCATTTCCCCTTTAGCTGCAAGTCTCTATAACGTAGGATGGGAAATGCTGTAGACTGCTGAAAAAGACACTGAGAAATTCTCTTTTCCAAGGAGAAAAGATAAAGACAAGAGACAAAATCAGCACCTTGCATTTGACTTGTGGAGGCCAAAAGTTGGTAGATGAATGTTGCTAACCTTTTCAGAGTGAGGATAGAAGTGACAAAGTGAAGGGACTTTGGTACCAATCCCCTCAAACCACAGCATGATGATGCTTTTTTTTGGGAAAATAATGTTGTTCTGTATGCTGGTGGGAGAATAGATAGATGGATTCCTAAGTCATAATTTAAAGTAGTCAGAACCCCTGAAAAACACTGTTTTCACTTTAGGTATTAAAATCTTTGCAATCTCAAATTTTGAGGCTCTTGGGCTTTTAGAAGGAGCTGTGAGGAGCAGCAGCTTCTGTTCTGCAATGTGCCACCTCCGCCTTGAACAGGGATAGTGATAAATCTTCTCTTTTTAAACCAAGATATCTTTAAGGGATGTTTTAGCTCATGTTTATTTATCCTCTGCACTTGAACTTGTCATTGCATTTCAGTACCTGTGCAAATTCCCTGGTGCAATGGACAGCGTCTGTCATTGAAGGAGGTCAGTGTGATGCATCCCGTAGTGAAACCCATGGGCTGGATTCTGTGGGGACACAGCAAAAGAGAGAGGTTCTTGGCAGAAATCCACCTTGCACAGGGTAAACTGGCAGAACTGAAGCTGGAGGAAGTATTGTTCCCCTAATGTTTCTCATGCAAAGACAGAAGAACATGAACAAAGTATACCTAGAAAACACTGAGTTTCCCCCTGTCATGATTGTTTTTGAGGGACCCAATTCTCGTTCAGCTCAGACAGAACTTTGTGTTTCTGGCCTCTGTTGGCACTGGTGTCCCTGAATTGGGGGACATCAGCTGATTCCCTGCAATATCTGAGCCATGTTTGCACATGATGGAGAATTGAAGCATTCAAAACTTTTGTGACTGCTGTATGAATTCTTTAAAGTTTTGGAATTTGGTGTCCAAACAAATATTGTCTGGGGAAAAAAGCTGCATGCCTAGTGCCAGCATCTTATTTTAGGCCTAGAGAGGAGTGGTGAAAGAGGAAAGTTTTGAAACAATTTTATTGTACAGTAAAGGTTGTAATTGGTTTTGGAAGAGCAATTTTAACTAATAGCATTACCCGTAGCTGATATGTGTATACAGTAAATGTCTGCAATCCCTTTAATTTTAAGGTAAACTTGTTAGTGCTTTTGACTGTCAAGAATCCTTTATCACAATGTGGTTTTGAATCTGTGTTTTTCTTCTTTTTTGTTTACAAACCCCAATAATTTGTAACTTCCCAGCCTGCATTAT